TTCTTTAAGATACAAAAAATAAGACCATTTGCCTTCTTACCAACATCCAGTACAGCGCACAAAATCCTCATTTCAACAAGGCGGTCTGCATCACTTTTTGCACCTATTGTCATTCACACACAGTCTTTGTAAATGGCAACACCCCCACTAATAGCTCTGTAATTTTAGTTTGCCCAGCAATTTAGCACTTGTTATTTGGGATCTTCATAAATCAACCTCATATCTTGCAAAGTTGTAAGAGATTGCTCATAGTGTTATTTTTTTAAGGTTTGACTAAAAACGGCCACAAAAATGGTGATAAGCAGACCTTTAACATTTTGCTAGCTTTGCTTCTACTCCTTAGTTCAGCCCGTCTCTCTCTCTCTCTCTCTCTCTCTCTCTCTCTCTCTCTCTCTCTCTCTCTCCTGCTTCTCTTATCATCCCTCCCACCCCTCCATTCTTCCTGCAGAGTGGTGTGCAATTGAATATCAACACAGGGACCTGTAAATTAGCGCTGACGAACCTCCAGCAATTAGTTTTCCCCACAGAAGTTGTTCTGTCATCTGCGCGCACGTCCMTTTATCCCTCTTTCAATCTTCTTCTGCTTTTTTCCTCCTCTCTGTCATTTCCTGTCTCGTCAGCTGTCAGCTTCAYGGGGTGGATATTGTTTTAGTGTTTCTTTTTTTCTTTTTTCTTTCCAGTGTTGCAGCTTCCATCTGCCTTGTTAGCGGCAATCGTATGTGAGATATACCCACAATGCACCACTCGAGTTTATGAGCATCAGCCTTGCTGCTATCTCTGCCCACAAAAAGTGAAGTGAACATCTATTCCCACCTACACCTACTCTGACTATATGCTGATAAACTCAAGGGGACAAATGCTCTCCCACTCAGTCAGATGTAAACACACAAACATCTTTCTCAGAGAGCTGCTTTTTCACGTCTGGTTTTCTTTATTTCTTTTTGTCTCCAGCCGTGTTGCTGGTAGCATAGCTGTGTAGCTTTTTTGTGTTACTGTCTCACCTGACCCTTCCACCCATCTGCATCCTTATTCTTGAAAGACGCACAGGGATAGAGGGAGTCAGTCAGAGTGAGAAAGAGCTGTACAATTAAGCAGATCAAGTGAGGAGGGCTGGACAACAAATGTCTGGGGTAAACAACTGCAGTAAGGGCTGAGTGAGCAGGGCGGGTGTCGGTTAAAGCCATTTGAGTTGTCTGGAGCGCCTCCGCCATCAGTCACTTAATCAATTTCAGCATCATTCAGTTTGTCTGCTTCTCTAGAATTCTGCATCACTCATCTCACTTCAGACGGTTTGTCAGAGCTAGCAGGGAGTTGTCCTTCCCTCCATCTGCCCTTTCAGTTGTTTGTGTTTTGTTGCTTTCTTCTTTTCACGTTCCTTTTCAGCATTTCTTATTCTTTCCTCTTTTTTTAGTGATGTGTCCTTCTCAAAGGGAAGTACTGAATCAGAAGAGCTGACTCCCATCATGTGAGAGCCAGCTCCTCGTTTTTTTTCCCCTTTTCTCTGGTCTTGTGACCAAATCACATAGGACAAGGGTATTCAACTGGCGGCCCGCAGGCCACAGCCAGGCTGACTTCTGCCCAGCCCACCAATAAGCACCTCCTCCAAAAAAAGGAAATTGTGTTTTTTTTAAAAGAATAAATACACAAAATTAGACAATTATAATGCTTCTTATAAAAGCACCGAGTGCTAAAGTGTTTATGAACACACAAAGAATTCATATTTGCCAAGTTTAGCTGAAAAATGAGGCTACAAATGATAAGTTAAGAGCAGTTTGGAAGCCAAAAAAGCTGTGTTTCCATTGACCATGAAAAKGCGCAAATTAGAATTTCAAAAATAAATTTGCTCAATGGAAACACGTCAATTTCGAAAAAAAAATTACGTTTTTCGACAAAATGTTTTTACGCTGGGATGAGGTGGTTTTTCGGCCATATCGAAATTGGTGTTTTTCGCAAAACTGCAATGGAAACACTTTTTTCGCATCACGGGAGTCACGTGATCAACAACCGGCTGTTTCTACTGGTGAAAAAGACGAAGAAGAAGAAGATAACAGGAAGTAGAAGCAGTAGGAATATCCCAGAAGTAGTCAAAGAGAGTAGAAAACTCACCAACTACAGTTTCCCAAAAACACAGCATACGTAGCCGCTCCCAAGTAGGGGCTTGTCGCTGGAAAGCCTCGATAAAAGAYGCCGATGTCTCCTCTGACGATGATAGCTAGTGTCGCGGTAGCAATATGCTATGTGTTTACATCAATTGCCGCCATGTTTGTAATGAATTATCGCGAGAACAAACTTATTCACGTGTGACTTTAATAGTATTTCTTAATGGAAACACTGCAGTTTCGAAACTGTGTTTTTTCGACTTTTACAGAATATCRTCAAAGTTTTGTGCACATTTGCAATGGAAACACAGCTAGAGTYGGCTCTCTGAAAAGAGATGAACTTCCCATCACTACGCTTTTTAAAGGACCAACATCTTAAATGTAATGCAACGTCATAACATTGTGCAGAATTTTTTGCTTCATATAAAATGAGTCTGTCACTATAGTCTATCTATCATTCTCAGTGTTTGGTTTTTGGCTTTAGTTTGTTCATTTGCCTCCCTGCGTGTGTATCATTATCTGTCATTTCCTCAGTCCTGCCATGCCCATCCCTGTTTCGTTTAACTCAGCTGTTTCTCATCTCCTTGTCCACCTCAGCTCATATAACCTCACAGTGTTCAGTCCAGGAAGTGGTGGAGCATTATGCATTATACATGCCATGTCTGGCATTTCCCTCCAGGAACTGTAAGTTTTGCTGCCACATCAGCATTTTGTTTTCTTTTGCAATGAAGTGTTATCGTTTGTGTGTTTCAAGCACAGCAAAGAGTGCTTATCACAACTGAGCCTACTCTGTTAGAAACAGACCCTACTTCGACAGTGGCTCAAGAGGTAGGAAGTTCATCCTGTAACCGGTGGGTTGCTGGCTCAAACTTTGGAGTCCAWAGAGACTTGATAAGGTGCTTTATGAGCACAAGTCATTTACTATCTACTTTGAAGTTTTCCTATTTAGACATAACAGGCTTTTATTGGTAATGAAAATAAAGCACATCAAGTCAAGATGTGAACTGCAACGTGAGCCACAGACTGAAGGCATCTCTACAAGAATTGTGCAACAATACGTGTATGAGTAGTATGAATCTAAAAAACGAACATAATACCTGCCTTCTTCTATTATTGAGAATTGAACCTGTGAGATTCTATTTATTGGAGCCACCTTGTGCTTTTTATTATTTTTTTATTTTTTACATTTTTAAACCAGCATGTGTGTGCTAGCAATGCAGGGCTTACCGGTATTATGTTCAAGTTTCAGTCATGGCTTTTAAAACACCAAATTACAGTTAAACATATTAGAAAGATGAATATTTGAACATGCAATAAACAAGGTCAGAACTACATAACTCAATGAGCTTAAAGTGTATCCCCCCCAAAGGATAACTCCGCCCCAAGGCAAAATTGCAAAATTACATGAAGCCTTTTGTTGCTGAGGCATTGTGTGTCTGTGTGTGTGTGATTGTGTCCAAGTGATGTTAGCCGCTAACATGCTAATACGAAGCTGTAACAGACGTTCATGCTATGCTAGCTGTTCCAGCACCTGACTACTGCAGGGGCGTGTCTTAGAGAGAGGCTTTTTATCAGAACAGGCCGCTGTGACGAAACCGTGGAGAAGACACGTCATGGTGGAGAGCCGTTAACCAATATGTAAATTAGACTGCAGTAACCAATGCTCAACCCATAGTGTGCAGCAAAGACGWTTTTTGGACCAAATATTGCAGATTTGAACAAATACGAACAAAAACGTCAAAATTAGCACAGAAATAGTACTATATAACATTTTAGACACATTCCAGACAGTTTATCAGCTAAAAAAGTTAATTTTGGGGTAAGTTACTCTTTAAAGACCTGGATGATGACATACAGTATCAGAAATATATTTTGTTTAACAAGGGCAGTGTCTGGTTTGTTTATGTGGAGGGGCGGGAGTAAAAAATTGTACTAGAACCAGTTAATATGGATGCTGGCGTTATTCCAGCTTTACTTTAAATATCTAGTTTTTTTTATGAAGAGTGGTGAGAACAAAAGGAGAACAATCAGTTTCAATGAAATAGGCCATAACTTTTCAGCAAAACCACCCAAAAACAAGCAGTTTCACTCGTTCTTGATTTTTTWAAAGAAAAAATCATCCTTCTGTCCATCAAGTTGAATTTTTAAATATTATATTTGTGTTTCTTTGATTGTTTTAATGATGTTTTCTGGTTTAAGATGACCTCCAGCATTGCCTTTTTTGTGCAGCTTTTGTTAAAGAGCTATGCTTCCTTGTAGCCTTTCAAATTCCTCTCTACAGAGCTGAGTTTATTGGTTCTAGTAACTAACCAAACAACCAATAGAGACTTTAAAGGACTCTAATTGTCAGAGTGTTGAGATGTCTCTTTTTAAAATGAAGTCTGTCTTGTTTTATAGGATTGCCATTTTGTAAAGGCCAGCGATAATAATTTAGCAACAATGTTACATGCACCTGTTGCCATTAATTATGCATATGAAGACAACACATCAGTACTGATTATGCTCTTTAAATAAATCAGCCAGCAAGCAATTCTAGAATACTTCAGCTCACGTGGGGAAGTCTACAGAAAAAATGTCCACAGGCTACAACTCCAGATCTGATTGGTTGACAAAACTGTCTACCTGGATTCTTAGAATAATCAGGGATTCCAAATTCTGCCCAAAGACCACATTACAAAAAATTCTAGATTGTTTTTTTTCTGAACCAAAACTCAGTCATCCAAGCAAGTAAATTATTATTAATTTTAATCTGTAACAGATGTTTTTATTTAACTGTATTCAATCAGTGTAAGATGTTAACTTGTGTTTCATTCTAATCGTCACCATACCTTCTTCTTTTTATTCATTTTCTTTTGATCTTTCTTCATTAAATCTCTGTCTCCTTTTCTTTTGTCCTTTCAGGTATTACTGACCCCCACCTTCATTATGCCTGTCTGCGGATGCTGCAGTTCCTCCCCGCCTCGAGGTCGTGCTGGGGCCTGCTTCTCCCCACTCGTGGTTGCCCAAGTTCAAGAACGATGTCGAACTCCCCGCCGACCTTCTCCTCTATCACCTCACCGCTGCACAAGCGCCTCCCTTTGCTTGCCTCTTTTCCTCCTGCTGCTCTGCCTTCTCCACCTGCCCCCGGCCTGCCACTCCAGGAGAGAAAAGGGCGGGGCAGGTGGCGGATGGGGCAGCAACAACTTGGCCCTGCCCAACAATTTAGAGGGCCTCAGCATTGCCGTCGTCCTGGTGGGCAATTCCAGCGAGGTGGCACTGGCGGGGGCCCGGGAGAAGGACTTCCTCCGCATGGAGCCCAACGTGGAGGTGCTGACCATGAATGAGACYGACCCAAAGAGCATCATCAAGAGCATCTGTGACCTGATGACGGAGCACTGGCTGCAGGGCGTCGTGTTCGGAGACGACACCGACCAGGAGGCCATCGCTCAGATCCTGGACTTCATTTCWGCCCAAACCCATATTCCCATCCTCGGGGTTCGCGGGGGCTCTTCCATGATTATGGCTGCCAAGGTAGGGCAAAAGCAAAAGTTACTGACATTTGTAGAAATTGCAAACAAGTATGTGTAGGTGGTTTGAGAGTTGGAAACATAAGAGGGCCGTTTGTTTTAAACAATGAAAGTGAATTGTTGGTCAGTAAGATTTAATGCAGTCTTGCTCTTAGCAGTGATTGCAGTGATAAAAAACGTACTTCAAAAAACACTTGTGCCTTTATTCTAGTTTATGCTTTCACTTCTGAATATCCATCATTGAAGGCTTATATATTTTAAATGTGTTCCACTGTTCCACCTTTAACAGCTTTTGATAACACCAACAAACCATGCCTTCACATCAATTTATTTTAGACTCAAAACTAAAATTTAATCTTCCAAAGTTTACACACATTCTTTATTCTTCTTACTAACAATTGGGGCTCCAAATGAGAGTATTAAAGAAAAAAAAACACTTTTGTTAATGGACTCTTTATGTCTAAAAGTGGAACTCTTATGGGGAAATTGAAATGAGTGATTTGACTGAATTCAAGTGACTCTCAGCTTTTCTTGTGCCACCATATGGGTTCTGTATTAACTCTGTGTGCAGAAAGACAGGCAGGCTTAGCTGGGGGTGGCAGGGGTGGCGGCGATGGTGGGGGTTCTCTGATTTGAAAGCCAAACTGCCAACAGAAAAGATGCCAGTGACAGGATCAGCTGGAGATTGAACCGGGATGGAGAGTTAGATCTCTGCCTGTTTACGAGGCCTCGCTTAATGGGATAAAGCAATCTGCTGATGATTTATCTGGGGCCTACTGGGATCTGGATTTGGACATTCAAAAATAAATAAATAAAATATTAGCTCGTTCAGTTAGTGGTTTGTACATAAATCAAACTGAGCTGACGAATACAGTGCTCAGAAAACAATTGCGACCTGATGTGTGAACAGTGTGCTGGCTGGTCTTTGAKCTGAAGTTTCAACAAGTTGCTTTTCATTCACTTTATTAGTTTGTTGCAGAACAGAATTTTATTTGGACCACTGCACTTTGGGCTTGCAGTAACATCATAAGAAAAGGTTTCTAAGTTGAAAACTGTTGGCCCCTTCAGGCCCACGCTCAAGCTATAACACGACACTTTTACATGAGTCCTGCCAAATGAAGTCACTGGTTTATCTTTGCGATCCATATCTCCACAATGTCATGCCTGCTTTTGTCTGCTGACCCTCTGGTGTCAACAGGTTGGTGTGCTAGCAGAGACATAAGCTGCAGTGACATAGTGAGTCCGGCGGGCACAGCTGAAGCGCTTCCTTCTGCTTYGTCTCATTCCAGCTCAAAGGGAAGATGTGGCAGGGAACAGTTCGCCCATTTAAAAATGCGCTCGTCAATGAACAAAAAGACCTCTGTGCATTATATACATCTCTGCTTTCCTAATCTTTGTGTTGCAAAAAACACCTGCCTTTAACCTCCATCCCCCAAAATTTTCTGTTTGTGTGTGTGTATGTGTGTGAGACTGTGGCAATACAGTTTTCTTCATTAAGTGCTTAAGTGCACCAGGCTGTAGGAAAGAGCAATATTTCTGTGGCGAAGGTTTAAATGGATTTCCCCGGGCACGAGTCAGAGTGTTCCTCTCCTGGGATCCTTCTCCTGGCTGCACCAGAGCCCCCGAGAGCGAGGCCTGGGTTGCTCTTAGGCTGTGTCTCCAAAGGATTTGTGTCTGCCTAATGGACTGAGACAATGAAGTGGTAAAAATACGATCAAGACGGATCAGAGGAAAAGAGAAATGGAGACAAGTGGGAAAGTGGAGTAATTGAGATAGTAGGGGAAAGAATGAGATCGAGCAGAAAATATTGCGCTTTGAGCGAAAGCGACTAGGAAAGAAGAGGTGGCTCTCGGTTGGAGGGTTTAGATTGGATCAAAAAGCTCAAAATAAGTAGATTCTTTAAGTGAACATAGCAAAGATAATTATTTTACTTATGAACATCAGACGACAAGCAAAAAAACCCCCAAAAAACAGAGAACAAAATGTGAAAGAGTTGCAAAACTTAATTCAAAATTGGCTGTGGTGTTTTTTTTCCAAGAGTAAATATCTCAAGAAAATGGACAGAATGTGAAATGAGGATTGCCATATGAGTTGTTCATCTTTGGCCTTGTGTCACACAAACACTCACAAACGTGTGCACCTGTCAAGATTGAAGGCCAGATGCTGCTATTTCAGTTGACACGACAACCCCTCTTTTTTCATGACATATCTGAGGAAATAAAATATCACGGAGCAACACAGACAGCAGAGAGTACAACATTTTGAGTTTTAGTGAGGGCTGAAGAGGACAAGAATTCAGTGGACTAATTCAAGATAATTCCATAAAGTGTACTCTCCGGAGCAGTCTAATGTGCTGCTGCACAAACAGTCAGGCTGAATTATGATCAGAATAATATTGTTCTGCTTTCTCACACACACACACACACACGCACGCACACACGCACGCACTCATGCACTCATGCACGCACGCACGCATTCACACACGCACGCAACTTTTTTTACGTGTTTGGTGATGAAAGCTAAGCACACCGTTGCATTCTTGTGGGGAATACAGTCAAAAGCTCAGGTCATTAAACAGCAAACCAAAGGGTCCAGATTTTAAATGTCTACGTTTTCAATAAAACATATACACTTATCAAAAAATGATTGCTCACATACAAGCCTTGTTAGAAAATGAAAATACTCTTGTTAAAATCTGCTGCATTCAGACTAGATACACTGAGGCTTGTTTAAAATGTATGAAAGGTCTAGAGCTCCTTGACGGAATTCATTCACAAAAACAAAGACAACAGAGACCGCTATGATGCAATTCAGTGTACAAACAAGTTAGGCAACAATGCTGCCATGCAGATGTGAATAAATTTGTCTGTACCCTTTTGTTCAAGAAATAAAAACCCRCAACAACCACCGAAACAACTTGATATTCACAAATGTAACAACAGGAAAAAAACCAGACTAAAATCGACTAATGAAAATCCATCATTGCTTCTAAACTTCAGTTCAACAGGAATATTTTAAAACACAAACTCATGATGGTGGTCTTGACAAACTTCGGTTTATGGTGGTGTTTCAGATGACCAAAGAAATTTGTAGTGTTAGGGTTAACTGCTAACCTTCATTCAATGGGCCTCATGCAAGAACATGTTCGTATTCTTATCCTAAATTTCTCTTAATTTTGTTCGTATGAAGGGTTCGTATGAACATGTCACGTCAGATTCAACAAACTCTTCTATCTTCAGGAAAAGTGCGTAAATGAGCTGCGTAATTTCCACCTGTTCGTATCCAGCTGCTCGTGCACGCGAGAGGAGATTAGCATAATTACCACCCCAAAAACACCATATAAGGCTATGTTTCCCACCTCAGATACAAGTGTTCGTTCATGAAAAATGACAGCGAAAACTAAAAAAATAAAATCTTTACGAGTTCAGAGATCGAAGGCCGTCTGTCAGAGATCCAGAAAAGAAAATCTGTCATTTTTTGCAGCGTCAGCTGTGGAATAAAAAGAGCTGCTAAAAGTATAAACAACTGTGTTAAATCATTTTGATTTACAGAAGCCACACCGTTGCCATCATGATGCTGCCGCCTCTGTGCTTCACAGTTAGGATGGTGTTGTCAGGTTTGCTAATGGTGGTCATTATGGTCAAACTGTTATGATTTGGGTCTGTGTTAATG